TCCCCCTCCAGCACGACGTCAGGATCCGGCCATCCTCCTAATTGCTCGCCAGTCGCTCGAAAACCCCCAAATTCGCCGTCCCCCTTCATGACTGTCTCGAAACTTGCGGCCCGTTACGCAAGAAAGATTCATTTCGATGACCTAAGTGCAAAACCACTTATCTCCGATGAAATTTCCGCTCTAATTAAATTTTTTCCAGAGGAAGAAAATCAATTTTTTAGCTTTGAACTGACTTAGAATATTCTACGAACAGAGAGGGAAAACAGAGGAAGTTTTTAAAGAAAACGTATTCACTCGTTTTCCAAGAAAAAGTAAAGTTTGACAAGAAGTCTGCGACGTCACAAATAGAGATACGTGGTTTTGGACTTAAGCCATCAATTTATGTGGGATTGTTTCCACTGTCTTTTTGAGGAAAAGCGTCATAAGAATTTTCCAATGTCATCAACTTTCCTCTTATAAAAAGTTCATTTTTGAGGAAACAGGTAGTAAATGGGTGCGCTATTCATAGAATCGTGTGTTGATTATTAAAGCTTATAGGTTAGCAGCATAAAATAAATTCCGTCCAAGCGCCCTGTTTTCACGAACAAAATGACGGATGTATCGCCCTTTGAAAAACACGGTACAAGACGTCACCCATCGCAGTAGTACATACTACGGTTTTTTCCCGCCTCAGGTTGATCAGCTGGACTCCAATTTACAATTCGGAACTATAATTTCTGTCTCGGTTTAGAAACAACGTATATACCATTAGTTTCCCTACGCACATAAGTGTTTTTACCGATGAGCCAGAAATTGCAGTTCTGAATGATAAAATGTAGTCCAATTGGATTGCATTTTGCAGAAAGGAACCAGGAGTACTGCCATGTTGCTAAGATTGTGGAACTTCTTTTGTCTTGGAAGAAAAATCTGATTATCCATTGATAGTTTCTATTTTCCTCGCTAAAATTTGTAAATTTAAGACAAAAGTTACCATGTAAATCTCATATCTTTTCATGATTTCAGTAATTCAATTGCAAAGGATGAAGTTGCACAATCTTAGCATCATTGCAATGCTTCTGGTTCCTTTTTGCATAAATGCAATCCAATTAGTGATACACGCATTTGCACTGGTCCCTCGACTTGCGAAACGAGGATGAAACCAAAGTGAAATGAACAATGGCATACATCGCTATAGTGGATGGTTTTTTTAACCTCTCGATGCCTAAGACTTTTATTATACGTAAAGTCCCAGGTCGGGTCAAATTGACCCATATTTAAGACAAGCGGAAAATAAATACAGTACGAAAATAGAGCACAGAGGGGAACGTGAATTGATGACGGCGCAGAGATACAAATGTTCGTGCTTGACGGATGTCCGTGTTGCATACTTGCAAAATTGAAGGCGCGATGGCGCGAGGCTTGAACTGGCAATGCTTCTCTCCAATTCTCCATGTCGTTTATAAGGTGTCATTGTTGTCATCAGGCGTAGAGTACTAGCACAGTTTGCTAATATATCAAAGTAGCTTTGTTTTTTAAAAAATCCAATTACCTATGTATTTTTGCATTAATTTTAATTTCGTTTTATTTTAAATTTAAAAATTTAAAATTGCCTAGTCCCCGACGTAAATAGCCTAGATGCTGATCGTCGTTAAATAAAATTAACTAACTAACTAACTATTTATTGGTTCTTCCTTATATAAAAATCAATTTCGGACTAATATGAATTTCAGAACTATTCGCGGCTAAGTTTATACATACAACTAAATTCCGGTTCAATTTGCTTTTCATTTTTAGACAGGGTTGCCACATGACGTCTACTTAGTTAAATCCTAAATGCGAGTGATTTTAGAATACAACTATGGTAAGTGAGCTGAAAATTCGATCATAAAAAAATCAGGAAAAAAGGAGGAAAAATCAGCAGACTATAGAGATTGACAGATGACGATGCAAGAAAAAGCGAGAGGTCGCGTGCACTTGACGAAGTTTCATTACAAATTCAGCGTAACCTTGAGTTCGTGAAAACTGCAACATCCATTCCTTAATGCCTGACAAAGCGTTTTCCTCAAACGCATGATTTCATGCAAATTGTGCATTTTCGATCATTGCGGAGAGATGCACCTGAGGCTATTTTGCTGACTCGCTGAAAAAGGGTCTGTCTTAGAGCATTACCTATGTTACGTGCACGCATCTTCATCAAAATATTGCACCTAAAGAAAAATGAACGAGATGAAAATGGATGCAGGTCCATCTTCAATTACTTAATGTCATCATACTTGTATTGAATTGTTTAAGCAGCAACCAAAATTACTACAATGCTGCCATAAGGATCGACTTTAGCAAAATGAAACCATTTCAGTTATAGTGTTGTGAACATTGTGCAGCCTGATTCAATCTCAAAAATACCTGTAAGCTCAAATTTTTTTGGTTTTTATGCCAAACATTATCAATTTTAAGAGAAACTTTTTCTGCGAATTAAATCAAAAGAAAATGCATGGAATTTTTCCAAAGTAAAGACGCCGTTGCAAAATTGTAAGAACTCTGTGATTCAATTTGTTCCCTTACTCTAAATCCATAAGATTTGCAGCTTTTTAGAGCTTTCAAGATACATACTTACGGGCCGTTTTCATAGCGCTCCCCGGTGCTCTACGGCAGCTAATCGCCACGCAGTACCTTTCCTGCCATAGTCCTTCAGAGAGTTTGAAAAAGGGCAATAGCTTTCAAGATAATCTAAAAATTCAAGTCGTCTCCACCTCTCCGTTTCCTTTCACCGTCAAGGAAATTTTAACATTTTATTTATCATTATCCTTTCCTTCAGTCATTTATTGTGTCTTATTTGATTGTAAGTCGTACCGTGGCTAAGGAGGGGCTCCAGGGAATCAGGACCGATATTTCTGACTTCCTGCAACTTTTTGGATCTAAACGAGCATAAAATAAAACCTTTCGTCCTTAACAACTAACTTTATTCATTGCACATCGGGGTTATTTACAGAGAGACGAAAGTATCACGAATTAGCGCGAGGTTTGTAGCCTGGATAGTAGACGATGGTCATAGGCGCCTCTACTAGTGCCAGCGTCCCGTACTTATCATCCCGGAGGACGGATGTCCTCCCTTGGGTTTTCTCAACCCTACTCACATTCTTCTCCTCGTTTTTCGGCTGCGACTGTCGGGCATTTTGGAAGATGTCATCGACGTAGTTCCGCTTGCCCTTGATGCCCCGCACGATGTCCTCGATGAGCGGGTCCAGCGCTGACTTCGCTTCTTTCGATGACGTCGAACTGTTGACGTCACCCTGGGCGTGCCGAGCTCCTACGACGTCGGCAGGTGATGGCGTTGTGGGTCTGTCTGGTACGTCGTCGATGGACTGCGTTGATGCCGGAGGGCGTGACGTCACGGGCTTAAAAAAAGAAACAAATGAAGACATTTGTTTTAAAATTATTACAATTAAGTACCTAAAGGGGTGACCTGAAAGCTCAAGGCGTAAACATTAACATGTTTACATAGAAATGCTTGAAAAATATCGATAGCCAATGTGCGGAACCACGTATTTTCGTTTACGACGTTGCAGACTTCCTGTCATACTTTATCGTTTCCTCTGAAAACTAAACGTAATTCCTCGGAAACTTCCTTGATAATTTCCTCTTCGTCAGCAGAATATTCTATAAAAATTTCAAGCTGTAAAGTTGGCTCTCGTGGACTGTTTGAAACATAGAGATGGGAATACGCGATTTTGTGCTTTAGACATCTACATGTAAAATTCACATCAGTTTTGACAGCATTTGCCTATTACATCATTCACTACAGTAAAAAAGTGGTCATCCCCATTCCAAAGTTTGAAAACTTTCAATTAAGTTGTTTTCTGACATTTATTTATATTTTTTTCAAATATGTGTTTCATAAAAAATGTGTTCAGTAAATGTAAGGATATAAATGGGGGGAGCACCTGACTGCACGAGAGAAAATTTGAATGTCAACCAAAAAAACCCTTGAAATATTCTGTGGACGTCCTTGAATAAAAAATTTTGCAGAAAATTTCCAGAAGAATGAGCTTCGAGTGTGTAGAGAAGATATATAATACATTAAAGGCAATTTGCAACATTGAAATCAGATGCAAGTATTTTTCTATTTCAGTCACTCCTACATATATTAAAACGGAAAAAAAAAATTCTGACCACGATATCCTTCAGTTCTATTTTCAACGCGCAATAATGCCCAACTATCAACTAAAGTGTGTATTTTATATAACATTTGGCGAATTTTTGCGATTCACATATTTTTCTAATAAAATGTGACCTCACACCAACTTTACAAGCAAAACAGCTGAAAAGAGCCAAAAATGGACTCATGTTGTTCGCTGCTTTTTGTTAAATAGTTAGAATTTCTCGGTGTTGATGGATTCACCTCGGAGGGCCCCTTAAAAAATAAAAAATGAGTGGCTTGGAGGACAAAGCGCATTAGTGCAGCTTTTGCTACATTGGTGCGTGTCTAAAGTTTCAAAATTACAATGGAACCGCAGTAATTTCAAACTCATATTTCGATGCTTAAAAACTAGAAGTCGGGAGTGAATTTTTCACAAAACATTTGACTAGTTTTTCTTCAAATCATTTATATCTCAATATTTTCAAAAACTACCCTTCAGTGCCTTGTCCTCCAATCCCCTCAAATGTGGTACAAAGTACCAGCCACTAACAATATATTAAATCAAAACTTCGTGTGCAAGGAGTTTCATTTTGGGTTAACATCGACTGGTGTTGTATGTCATACACGTACACCGTTTCGCACAAAAATATCCGAAAAAGTACGTCTCGAAAAAACGAAATTATTGAACTAAATGAAGCCACTGAAGCTGTTAACTGTGACATATCGAGGACTTCTGATTTGAGCAATTGTAATGATATGAGACTTCTCCCGGGAAAAAGACACTTAGTCCATAAAAACCTAAAATTAACCTGTTAGTGTTAGCGCTCAGAAGAAAGTTCAACGAATATTGTGCAAAAAAAAAAAAGCTCCAACAAGTCATATCTGACTCAAAATAGGACAATTTTGAATTTACTCTATTATTCTCATGGCAAAAAATTTCAGAACTATATGCTACTTAACGCTCTTTTATTGCCCAAAAATAACGCAATTATTGTTTAGGATATCAGATAGTGTTCATTGTCCGCATCTCAAAATCCGTTTTTTTCTCATCTGCCTGGATAAAGATTTTTGCATATAAAATGTTTCCTCTACGAACGAACATCCCTTTTCCCGCAGCCAATTGGACGTATTTACCTCAAAAGGAACTATATCCATTCTGATATGAGCCTTGAGTTTTATAAGAAGACATACGTGACAGGGTTTAAACCACGATGTATATAGTTCTTTTTAATTTAAATGCGTCCAATTGTGATCAAATATTGATGGGTAAACGCGAAAGACGCGCATCTCAATTGCAACATTTAAAAATTCCCATTATGTTATAATTTCTTCAAAGAAAACTAACCAAGATTTCTCTTTACACTATTGTGGAATTTTTTTAGAATGAGTGAGAAAAATTCTAAAAAAAATTTCAAAAATACCCATCAGTTGCGAATTTTCTTTCGAAAAAATTAAACATTAGCTGCGACTTACAACGCCACAATCTGAGACACATATTTTCTACTATAGCCATTGATATACTAAATTTGGATCTTCACACTACCTGGTTACTGATGACGGTCCGGTTAGAAGACATCTCCTGCGAGAACTTGAGGTTCGAGTAGTGCGATGTTTTAACGTGCCTGCCGGCAAGTTTGTCCTCTTTAGCATCGACACTCTTGGCACCTGGAGTTTTCGGTGCCTCTGATGCTCCAGCGCCCCCTGGCGGACGTTTCGAGCTTGAGGGCGTTGCTTCCGTGCTGGGGGCTCTGCCACCCTCCGACGAGTTCTCCGACGAATCCACGTCAGGCGGTGTTCCAGTCTCCGTCTGCGTTGTGAGTGGCGTTGTTGTAACGTCGACCGTCGATCCTGAATCCGTAGTCAAGATCGCCGGCGTCGTTAGCGGATCCTCAGTCGAAGTTACATCCGTCTCCGAGCTCACGGTTTCCTCTTTTCCGCCGCTGGACACTTTCGCGCTTTTACTTTGCGCCGTGTCGTCAATTTTTTTCCGCTCTGCGTAGTCCATGAAATCATCCCCGGCGTTATTCCCCGGAGAGCGATACGCATAGGGATTTCCCGGATAATCCGGAACGAGAGGGCCGAAAGTCCCGAGGGTGTTCATGGTTCCTATACTGATCCCATCGTTCCTCGGGGCTAGTTTAGGGCTCTGGAAAGGGGCGTTCGGGTAGTAGGGGAGCCCAGGGTACGGGACGACCTCGGTGGCGCGGTATTGGGGCAAGGGGTACACGGGGGAGGAATTCGGGACGAGGGGACTGTTCAGGGATGTGAAATGCTGCACAATGGGCACCACTGGCACCAAGGGATGGTTGTTGTTGTTTACGCCGTAGTTGAAGTAAGGCGTGGAGAGTTTAGAATACTTGCTTGCGGAGCCCTGCTTCAACTGGTTAAGATCGTGCTGCAGTGCTTCTATCTGGCGTTGACTTTGAGAGATGACCTTCTCGTACTGCCGCTCCTTGTTCTTCAGGTTCATGATGTAGTCTCTGAGGATGTCCGATGACCCCATGTCGTCCTCCGGTGTCTCTGACAAGGCGTTGCGGTCGAAATTGTCCAATCCGTTTACTAAAAGTTTCGCCGAGTCGTCGGTAGAGAGCGCTGCTGGTTTCTTGTGTACATGATCGCCTTCCTGGCTACTCATTTCCGGCGAAAAGGGTACTTCTGGTCCATCGTTGTCTAAAATCACTCTTTTTCCGCTATCGTCGGATTCCTCTGGAGTTGCGTTCTCGGAGTGGGTGTCAGGGGAGGGTTCCGTCGGTTTAGTGGTGTTTTTGCCACCCTCGCTATTATCTACGGATGCACTGAGTGCGTTATTTTGGATCGAGGCGGTGATGGTGTCTTTATCGTGAGCGATCTGAATCGGTTGAATAAAGCCTAGGAGTACGCGAAAATTTAAAGGGTATTTTCCTGAGCTGGGAACTTGTTGAGAGATCACTTGAGGATGGAGAGGTGGTCTTTTGTAGTAACGAATTACAGGAGCCCCGGTGAGGTACACTTGAGGTCGCGTAAAGTGGTTTATAGGAACAGGGACATTGTTAGGAGGGTAGTAGTTTGGGGGAAGAGGGTAGGTGACCTGTGTAAAAAAATGGTTTTTGGGGTCGCTGTTAGACTGAGGCTTTGCGAATTGAGGGGTTTCGCGAATTTTTTGAGGGGTTGAGTAGGGATTGGCTGCTTTTGGCTGGTACGAAGGTATCAGTTGGTCATCCTTACGTAGAATTTGAGGGGGAGAGTAAAAGTTCATAGAATCTCGGTTCCTAGGATATGTAGGTGGATTATTTCTCGGTTGAGGGGGAGGGGAGGTGTAGAGATTAGAGGATTTAGGGTAGCTCGAGTATTTTTGCTGATTGTTTGCGTTAAGATTTTGCGTTGGGCCGTAGAGGCTACCAGATTTTGGGTAGTTCACATACTTCAAGAGGTTATTTCCTATTTCACTTTGGGGAGGGACATACACGTTGGCCAGTTTGGGACGCATTACATCTGCCGGATCGGCGCGCGCCTGCTGACTTTTTGGGGGTGAATAGGAATCAGTCGATTTTGAATAGTACAAAAATTGCGGTCGATTTTGTTCCTTCGCGATTTGAGGATCAGCATGGATAGTATTAGACGGTTTGTAGCTCGAAAATTTTGGGAGACTTCCATCTTGCGCAGTTTGAAGAGTCGGATATCCAGAAAATTGACGTTTGCCGTCGACTTGCAAGTTTGCAGGTGTCACATAAGAGTTGTAACTCTTTGGGTAGCTCGGAATTTCTGATCCATCTCCTAGATTTTGAGGAGTATAATATAATTTCGGGTCAAAGGAAGATGCTGGTTTGTTCATCATCAAGGGTCTCAGTGGCGTGGAATAGGAATTTTCTGTTTCTGAAAGGTCCAAAAACCTCGGCTGGTTTTCTCTAGAGGTGGCTGGATAAGCTGGTACCGCTTTTACACCATTAGATCTAAAATCATTGAAAGAAGGCAAAAACTGACTGAAAGATGCATCTTGGGGGGCAAAAGCTCTTTGTTGGAGGCCTTCGCGACTTTTAGGGTCCAGAAGCAATTTTTGCAAGCCGTTATAGTTATAGTAGGGCGCACTCTGCTGCAGAGAATTGGAAGCCTCATCATAGTCCTCAAAACCGGCGCTGATATCGCTCGGAGGGTACGCGAAAGACAGCTCATTCCATGCTTTATTGGGTGAATAAGGAAGCGCGGGCCCGTTTGATGCACAATCCAAAGGACTCAATAAGCAATTTAAAACCATCGGCTTACTCTTTTTGAAAATATCATCCAAGACTCTCTCAGGATCTTCGGTTTTTTCACTGGACCTGTAGGGATAGGGGTCGTACTCGTGAGGGTCGCTAGGACCCCCCAAATTGTAGTAAATTTTGTCGTCTTTCTCGTAGGTCAACTGACCAGGTGCCCCCGGCTGTCCGAAATTGACTTTTTTCTTGTTGATGCGTTGCCAGGGGTACTTCTGGGCCTCGGGGTAGTAGTAGATGGCGCGGGGGGGCTCGCGGGCTTCGCGCGGGTTGGCCGAGGCCGAGGCGAGTCTGGCGGCGTGCGAGGGGTTGATCGGCGGCTCGAAGTAAGGGGCGCTCGTGTCGTTGTAGATGGTGTTGAGCGACTCCACCGGCTTGATCGAGATCGGGCTGTCCTCGTTCGTCAGGAAGATGTTCACGAAGAGGTTCTTCATGAGCCCGGGGTTGAACTTGAGGTAGATCTGCTGGAGCTCCTGGCCGCAGATGATCTTGGGCGATTCCTCCATCTCCTCGTAGTAGACCTCGTAGCAGAGAGGCGGGTTCGAGTATCGGTCGCTCGAGGTCCGGTTCGAGTCGGTCGTCGTCGGGATTTCGTTAGCCAGGTCTGATAAGTTCTTGCCCACGGGGAGGTCAGGAGAGGGGTCATTCGGAGGGTCACTCGAGGGGTCACCGGAGGTCGCTCCTGCGTCACATGGATTGGAGATTAGCATCATCATGAGTAAAAACATCGTAGCGCGATCCATCGTTGATCGAGACCGAAATAAACCAGTTTTTTCTTGGAAATTCGGTACTTTTTACGTTGCTAATATGTGTCCGGTATTATTATGTATTTATATAAAACAATATTTTTGGTGATGAATATCTATAAATTTCGTATTTTACGATGGAACAAGCTTTGAGTCAGCTGAACCGGGTTAAACTTGAATTTTCTAGTATCTGGCGATTTTTACCGGAATATAATATTTGTAAATAATTTTCCGAGATATTTACGACAAAATAAGCCACCCGGTAGCTCAACCGAGCAAATCAGGAGTTTTTTGGGTATCCTACAGTTCGTACCGTCCAGCACGTAATTATAATTCGGTGCTTTTAAATTTTTCCGGTATAAATTTCCACAGGCATGGGTAAAATTTCGGATTTCAGAGTAGAGCAAGCTCTCAGTGAGTCGCACGAATAGAAACACGCCAAACCACTGCTTTTTCGGAAAGGAAAAGTGGTAGGAATTATACGCGAACTTTTCGGGGAAGTTTGAGCACTCTTGGACTAAAATTTCCAGCGAACGCACTGCCGCACCATCGACTACGCAGGGTGCTCCCGAAGCGGACGGATCTCGGACTGATGATGAGGATTTTTTGAACTTAATGTTTGGGAGTCGGATCCCCGGAGAGGAAAACAAAAGAAAATCTCGGAAAAACAACCGCCGCGGATGAGATCACGGACTCGGCGAGCTGACCGTCGTGACCTAAAAGTGGCGCGAAGACGATGCGGCGCGGCGCTCCGCCGAAAATACCGATCGGGTTTCGGGTGGGTTGTGCAATGCACCGGACCCGAATCGAGCCGAAAAAAATTCGTGGTTTAATGTTGGACCCCAGTCTGACAGAGATGCAAAATTGCACTACATTTTGCACTGAGGAACTGCAATATTTGGCTCATTTAAGAAACAAAATATGTACCGCAGAGTTGGACCGCATTTAGCTGAAAAGAACCAAGCCACATCCGCAATTGCCAAATTTAACTGGGCACTTTCATTTTTTACATGAAAACGGTTGTGCGGATTTTTCGACGGGATTTTTGTGTATATTTCAGTGAATTTTCTGCATAGTGCGAAGCAAGTTCCTTGAATTTTCAAATAAATCCGCTCAAACGTTCTCTTGTAAAAAATTGAACTGTCCAGTTTTTTGCAATAGCGAATGTTGTTTGGCTCCTTTCTGCTTAACGCGATCCAGTTCCTCTAAGCAAATGGGTGATTTAAAGGGTGACATTCAATTCAGTGAAACTTTATATAATGATCTACATTTTGCAATTTGGAATTACCTACGATTTCTGGTTCATTTTAGAAAAAACGTATCTACCATTAGTTTCCCTGTGCAGATAGGTGTTTTATGCATGAGCCAGAAGTTATTGTCCCGGATTTGCAAAATGGATTTGCAACCAGATGCGGCCCAAATTTCAGGAGGGGAAGCGCAGAACATAATATAATTTTCACTATTATATTTACCAGACTTCATTTGTCTATAATTTCGCCTCTGTCCCGAGGAAATCATACACGGCTTGTAAAGTTACAGATTTCCTGTCGCATTTAATTTTGTCGGAAGACGAATGATCATCGTTTTCCTCAAACTCCGTGCAACTCATTAGGATTGTTTTTCAAAATTTCACCTGAACATCAAAATTAGTTTTCTCGAAGGGAAAAATATCCAAAAAAAGGACTACTCATTAAAATATGTTAAAGGAAACTCTACATATCATGCTCAGATATTCATTTTTTTCCGATTTTGAGGACCAGTAACGATGAAATACATGTGAATAATGCATTTCTCAAAAAATTGCCGGTGCCACAATAAAGATTAATAGTGGTTTACATCATTGTACCAAGAGGAAACGCTGGAATTAAATTAAAGTGTAAAAGGCACAATCAAAGCTTTGGTTAATATCGCGTGGGATGGATTGGATACTGAAAAAAATTTCATGATAACGCCTTGATGCAACTATTCGGGCTTCATGGATGCCCATGTTGCATACACACGGAAACGAAGGCGTTTTGACCTCAGACGTCAACCGCCTTACCAGAGGCACTGAGTGAAGTGAGTCAATTAAAGGAGTAATTAATTCAACAAGTTGTGGAAACATTGAAAACTCATACTGATATTAATACAAAAGTTAGAGGTTTTAGAAGTAGCCTCATTAATTTTCTCGTATTTCCTTCAAGAAGCATCCCATAAAATCTGTTACGTGAAAATATTCACATCAAAAATTTGCAGTAAGGGGGGCATTAACCTACAGGAAGCCATGCGAGATTTCACCGAGTAGATTTTGTTGTGCCAGCTCGTGTCTAATGTTTAGTTTCTAATCAAATAATTATTCAGAGCCTTGTCCTAAATCCTGTGAACAGTACTAACTCCAGTTTAAAAATAATTTTTGAATGCAAAAACTGCACGAATGCTAACAGACGCGCGTTTATTTCGTGTGAACGGCCTCTTTCATCTTTACTTGTCCCATTTTCACCAAAACTTTTTGATCTATTGTAAACAGATAAGCACAGAAGTGGACCTATTTAGCATGCAAAAAACTCGATCAAACAAGGAAAAAAGACTCGCCTATAAACAGAAATGTTAACATTTAATAGAGATCACTTCCGAGCATATTTTAGTGTGATGTATGCATCGAAGTCAAACGGAAGCCCATGAGAATAATCAATAATGCCTCCAACAGTATTTTTCATTCTCTTCATTCTACTAGTGCATCAGATTCTACCATTCCAAGCCATGGTAAGGAAAATACCTAAATATAAAAAGAATCTGTTCAACTCCACCGTCTAACACTGTCCTTTTGTGATAAAATTAATCTTATCCTCCAAAATTATATGAAAAAAAACCCTCATACACTGCCGTGCTATGGAAGAACGCCGTATAAGCCTTCAGACGTTGCCATATTTTCCTCTAAAAAGTAACAATTTTTAGGAAAATTAGAATATTTTTCATCGAAATTTTGAGACAATTGTATTCGTAATTAATATAAAATGACTGAAAATTTTGAGGAAAAATATACAATACTTTTCTTCAAAATTATGTTTTATCCGGGGAAATTTGGCAACTCTTGGATGCTCATCCGGTGTTTTTTCTTACCGCGGCAGTATAGGTGGAGCTTCAGAGAAATGAAGCATTATGAAATTTCATGCTAATGTTTTTAATTTTAGAAATCATTGATGCAGGTATCTCGGGAAGATACCGGAAATTTTAATTCTTCTCAATCTAATAATTTATACTGAGAGTTGCAAGTTACAAAAGTTAATATTAAACTCTGCCCTCGTGGCCATGCTTGAATGACTAGTAACTGGAGTTAGAAGTCAAGTTCGCCTTCAACTCGATGGATGCAATTTGAGCGGCCCAGGAGTTGAAATAGTTGTATCACGTATCTTAGTTTAGAATGATGTCCAGGGACGAGTGACTTTCGTTGTAATCTTAGCGTTTTCAAAGATCACCGCAGCGAAACGTTTAATGACTTTTACTCGATTCTCCCCCCTCCCCCCGAAAAATATTTTGATGCTGACATTGAGAGAAGTTGCAAAAGTTAGAGTTGAGCACCGCTCTGGCGGACACGTCTGAGTAACTAGGAACTGGAGTTAGAAATCAAGTTTGCCTTAAATTTCGACCTCCGCTACGACTTCCGAGGGTAGTGTGAAGTATATGTAGGTGGAAACTCATTCTTTGCAAAAATTCATGTACGCAGCCATGAACGGGGGTCTATACATGCTGTGGGCCCTGAGTTGTGGGTGAAGAGGTCCGGCAGGCTGATTGTTGAAATTGATAGACAAAGCTATAGACAAAGAGGACATAGGGAGCATGGAGTGATCCTATTGGTTGAAATAGGTGGTTCCTACAAACTAAGAGAAAATTATGGACTGAATATAGGTTCTCTCGTGAGTTGCCGTTAGTTAGTCTATTCCCTACCTCCTTCGTCCATCGCAAGCACCCGCTTCCACTATATTATCCCTTCATATACCTTTTGTCGTCTTTGTCTATTGCTTTGTCTACTAATCTCAACAATCATGCTTCGGGTGTGTTATACCGCGGGTGATGAGTCTGAGGGCGAGTGGTCCCAGAATCCTCAGGCCACCCTTAGTTCGGCCGTTCAAGTATTACGTGACGCAATTAGGGGGTCGGGGGGTTTGAGCCAGCGTTACGGTGCGTTACAAGGGGAGGGAAGGGGCCAAGCCCAGCGTCATGTAACGAATCCGAGCCGGGGGGGAGGGGCTTTGAGAAAAACCGTGCAATGTGTAACTTGTTCAAAATTTTCCAAATGCACTTTTCCGGCAAGATTATGAATGATACAAAAATCATGTATTTTCACACCTTTGTTGACCTCTTCCCGTCGTATTTCAGCAAAATATAAGAAAAAACGGAAATTTTTGTTCAAGCTGCTTACTTAGCGTTTTCTTAATATTTTTAAAATTCAGGGGGGGGGGG